AAAAAAAAAAAAAAACCAAAAAAACCCAAAAAACCCCCAAACCCAAACCAGGCCTATTCTGCCGCTTGCTTTGTTGTTTCTATACGTTTATCAGAACTATTTTCTGCGGAGAGAAGCTACGCTTTGCAAAGAGAAAAATGAAAGTTTCACAGAGACTTTCCACACAACCGCTCCCCCCTCGTGCTCACAGCGCCAGCTCTCGAGTTAAACTTTGGAAAGGAACTGCCCTCCAGTGCTTTAAGTTATTATACAGTTAATTTTCTTTGAAACTATTTTTGTCTGCCTCTCCCTAAATAGGTGGTTTCTTAAGTGAGTGTTACTTAAAGGAAACCAATCTGTTTTTCAGGAAGGGCTGATGATGTCAGTCCTTTCAACTCTGCTTTCCCATAAGAATTCTTCTAGTAAAAGGAGTTTCACTCTGGGAAATAGTGAAGAGTAACGTGAAAATATTTAAAGCATCTCAGGCTGCACGTCTATCAAACTTCTAATCTTCTGCTTGGATTTTAATCGTGTTGCGATAGTAACGAGGGAAGGAAAAAGTGAGAGAAAACCTTTTTGATTTTTAAAATTAAAAAAGATTTTGCAATGAAAAACGTGCTATACTGAAATAGTTATAAAGAGCTAAATACAAGTCTGAATGCAATGTATACAGAACAACATGTTTTTTCGTAATTCTCAATTTATGTACTGCATTTCAGCATAGGTATTAAATCTGAAACAGAACCACTGCCTATTATGAATGGTCTTTTGGCAAAACTACACCATCCAAATAAATAGTTCCATCCCCAAGAAAATGACATGACAAATTCAGAGAGCATCACGTTATTATTGAATGTTTTTAGCAGGTGTGGATGTGTAGCTATAGGTCCAATGTGTGCTTAACTTACTACGTTACTGTTTGTTCTGATTCTGGAAATCCCTGCAGTCAACAACCGAAGAAACCTCCGAGTAGAGCTAGAGCGACTTTAACTTACTAGTGGCGCAAGAAGTCATGACAATGACATACTGTAAATTTTCATTTGCAGAATAAAAGTAAGAGCTTTCAATCTTCCAAGTAAAGCATTACATTTTTACAGCTAAATGCTCCTTGCTGTTCACATTCAGGTGTCCTGAAGATAACAGGGGATACGTTTGCACAATCAAGGACGTAGTTCTGTTTTAACTACTCATCCATGAATCCATACGGTGTATCTGTGAGACAGGTAAGCACCATAAACCCCATTTTATACAAGTAAAAAGGTCACATAAAGCTATATTTTACCCTCCTGTTCAGCCCCCCAACCAACTGATGTCCTAATAGTCTTATAATAGTAAAAGCCCATAAAAGGATCCCAACCTAACTCGGATATTACTGACAACGCACTCTGGCAATCCAACGGAATGACAAAAATATAACCTCGCTGGATTAACTGACAGAATAACCCAAACAAAATCTGTGTTAGCTATAAAAGGTGCAAAAGAAATATCTCTTCATCTTCCTCTATTTAACCGTTTACTTCATTCTGCTAAAAAGAACAAAGCCAAACTGATTTATTTGGAAATGAAATCATCCCCACTCCCAGTAAAGGCTTACATTGTGCGGGTAAACAGTTCGTAGGGTACTCCAAACAAAATGTAAATAGATTGCCTTGCTACTATATACATAGCAAACAGTTTCATTTTGAAACTAGGAGTTAAAAAACAAGTGAGAAAAATATTACAAAGCCTGAACTCTGAAAGTATTTACAAGAACAAAAGCTAATCACAAGTTAACATCAATAGGTTACAATTGCTAATCAAAAAAGAAGATAAAAAGCAAGCGCTTTGTTCACAGAAGTCTGGTCTTTTGGCCTAAGGTTGTAGCAACGCTATTGTAACACGGAAGAAATATTAGCAGAAGGATTAACAGCAGTTTTTCTAACTGAGGGCTTATCGAACTGTTCTAGACTGTGAAGGACATAAAAGGAAAATCATGATGACACGACGCCACACAAAAAAAATCCTCCAGAAATAAAACCAGTTTACCACAATCTTCTCTGAATCTGTCACTTAATCAACAATTTGTCCCAGTGTCATGGTGCTCTCTAGGACATGGTCTCCGGGTTTATTTCCATTATCATCAGCTGCATTTAGAGGGATGAGTAAGGAAACTAGCAGTTATTCTTTGTGAAGGAAACTACAAACTTCAAGTAATTCCACACATGGGGAATACAGAGATTATTATTCTTGTTACACAGTAGAAAGCTGACAGACAAAATCAGCTGAATAAAAGTTACCAAGGGTCACAGAGTGAGCTAAAAGTAAAGTGGAGAATTAAACCCAAACCTGCTCTTTCCTGTTCCGAGTACTGAGTCCTGTCACCAGACTGCCGTAACTCCTCCAAACAACAGTAATTTAACGTTATCATATGATAAGGAGCTGTTACAATCTGAGTTAACGCATCTTAGTTCACAAAATAATCATCGGTCTCTGGCTATGGTTCAATATCCTGCCTGCCTTCAGCCAGCCAAACTAAAAGATTACTGAAGTGAAAAACCAGCAATAATATTACTAAAACAAATATTTTGCCAAATTGATTATTTTAAACCACATGATTTTGCCTTTTTTTCTAAGTTTTTTTTTTTTTTTTAAGACAACTCTGCTAACGCCTCCATACGATCCCCATGAATTTCTCATGGCAAATTTTCATATGAAGGTTTGCAAGTTACCAACACACAGTCTCAGTATGTGTCCAACTTCAAGCCCTTCCACACCATGAGAAAGTGATGAGCACGATCTGTGTGAAGTTCTCCAGAAACCGAAGTTACCTTCCTGCCTTAATTCTCAGCGCCCCTGTGCAGCCTTCAAATGGAGCTAACTGTTTAAACAGAGCTAATTTTCAAGCAATGATGACTGCACAAAGATCTTGGAAAAAATCTGATTTATTTATTATATTTCAGGACAGACATTTGAGAACTGAAGCCTCAGAACTCTTCAGACACTCCCATAAATGCTGCTCCCTTTCTCTCAGTAACTCGTCCATGCATGTCTTTCTCCTACCTAGAAAATCTGTCCACCACTGAGGATCCTAGGGCAAATGCAACTGCTGTTTCTTCTTAAGGAAAGAAAAAAAAAAAAAAAAAAAAAAAAAAGAAAAGCATCAAAATCTATTCAAAACTTCAAATGTACCTAAGAGTACTGTAAAGGCAAAAACTTACTGCAATTTCCCTTGACAGAAAACAGAATTGGCTGGATGAAAGCTACACAAATTGAGAGTTCCTTCCTCTCCTCTCCATGATGTCAACAGTTAAAAGGGATTGGATGTGCCATCGTAAACCTTTACAGCACTCTCCAGCCTGCTTCGAGCCTGACATGCTGAGCTGCTGTACAACGATGAGAGAGAAAGTAAAATGGTAGATACGCAAATGTCTCCAAGGAGGAGGAAACTACAGATCACGTTTTGGGTGCCTTCCAGTGGCTCCAGGCAGAAGAGCATGGCTCCAGAACAGCTATGCAGAGAAAAGTCCAAAGAACGGAGAAAATACAGAGGCTTCTTCTGAGACAACTCTGGTTCCCTTAATAATCAACAAGTCATAAAAATGTTCCTTTGATTCAGAAATCCCACAAAGGTTCTCTCTATAGCTGCAAAGATGTTGACTATGACAGCACACAGTTGGGCTTTCACAAGCACTTCTAATCCTACTCACAATTAGGGACAAGGGACTGTTCCTTGCCATTTTTAATACTCTGAGACTGGAAAAGGGTGGCTACCCGTACCAAACTGCTATTTAAACTCTCACTTTAATGGAAGCTGTGACTTACTCTTAACAGAAAGAGGGGGTAAGGATGCAGCAAATCCTGAAGCCAAACAAAGCAGCTTCTAGTACCGATCTCATCAAGAGAGGGACAAAAAGAACAGCAAAGATGAAACTCAAGAAGCTGGGACAATGATGGTTTTTCAGTCTTTTTTAGAGGCTGTCCTCCATGTCCTTTTAGTTTCTCCAAAGCACGTCCACCACAGAAGTAGGATGTACAGATCAATTCTTACAGATCTTTTTTTCCTTTGTACTTTTTTTATCACATTGCATACACACACAAAAAGTGGACAAATATCTATGCCATCAACTTCACATTGCCTAGATTCCACATTTCTCCTCAAACAGTACTTATTGTGGATATCCAGTTGTTCTTCATGATCACGGAGACGGATGAGCAATAAGAATTTTAGGTAACGGCATTTGAATATAGACCAGATTACTGACCGTGTGCTAGATGGAAACAAAACTTGAAACCTGAAGACCCCAAAACTTTCAGTTTAGAGTGGAAATTATTAACACATCTGTGATAGCATAGTTTACTTAAGTAAGCTGCAAAACTAGAACTATCTTTCTGAAGTATTTATACCTTGGCTCATTCCTATAGTATCTGCATACGTTACATATTTCTGCACAATACCTGCAGCACCTTATTTTATGAAACTCATTTTTTACTGACACAAACTATGTGGGCAAATAGAATGAACCAAACCAATTCTTGCAATCTCCAGTAAAATCAACATTTCTGTTGTTCAGGCTGTTAGCAAATACTACTGAAACGTGAAGCTGGAAGGCTAGGAAGATCTTTAGGCCAGCACTCCAAAGCTATTTAGGAACCAAATCGTTTTGAGTCAGGCAGCTACACAGCACATACAGAAACATCTAGAGGACATAGGCATTAAGGACTCAAGGGGAAAGGTTTCCTAACAATGTAAGGGGAAGGGGAAAAAAAAAAAAACCAAACTGAAAAAGGGATTTACCATGGAGCGGTGAGCCAGACGGGCTGCTTGACAGGCCTGGAACAGGGCTACAGCGTCCTCCTTGTTTAGATGTCAGCTCTTGCTCGATCTCTTCCAGCCCTGCACTCTTTTGGAATCGGCTCATGCGATTTACCACCCGGGGTGACATGTGCGTTCGGACACAGGGCTGGCCGCCATAAGGATTGATAGGAAAAACATGGGAAGTGCCACGAAGCGTGCTGACCACAACCCAACGACAGTCATGGCTGAAGGAGATATCCTGTACCTAGAAAACAGAGGAGTGAAATGGGAACATAGTCACCAACGTACATCTAACATCTAACAACGTACATCTAACAAAGGAAAGGGACTATCATGTTTTAAACAGAGACAAATCTTAATTGGAAGTGTGAATAAAAACCCCTAAGTTTAGGCAAGAACTTGAATTCTTGCGTATATACCAATGAACTCAGTATTCAGTATATATTCAGTATATACTATAAATATAAGCTGCAGTATAATACCCAGTTCCAAAGTTTGTGTACTTTTCAAAATATCCTGAGATTTTTCTTTTCAACAGGCCTGAACTTACGAAAACAAACCATGCTGCAAAGTACTACAGAAAGCCACAAGAGCTTGGTGTAATTTTCAAATAGAATTTAGTTCTAAAAAGAGTTGGGAAATCATTTCAATTACATGTTTTGTTATTTGCTTGTTTACTTTAATTTTTAGAGATTACCCAAAAAGGGGAAAAGGGAGGGATGAGAACAAGAGAGACATCTCACCACTGGCCCTGATTTTGACAAATACTGGCACTCAAAACTGTGTTTTAAGTCAACACAAATACCATGTCCTACCTAACTTAACAAACCAAAAATCAATGGCCAGTATTTTCAAAAGCTGTCTGTAATGGTCTCTAACGCTGCTACTATCAGTTTATCCCTCAGTGGAATTACCATTCATGGAGGTATCCCTGGACCTGTGCTCTTTTTTGGGTTTAAAATTTTGTCAAGAAGAAACTGAACAACTTTGGCCACTTCTCTGTATAAAACCACTCCGTTTTACACATAATAATCTTTATTAATCAGCTATTAAAGTCCCAGGGAAGGCCCCAGTTAGATTTCTTCTTATGCATATGAATACTTATCCACCACTTGAGAAACACAAGTCTTCTTTTAGCTTAAAACGGTCAGTCTTGAAGCAAATACAAAAATACAGTTAAATATTTTCTACTATAGTTACTCCTTGCATAGATCTCAGATACAAAGTCCAGAAGGATTTAATTCTCTTTTAAGTGTGCTTAACACAACACTTTGATGGAAAGCAAATTCTTGTTCCTGAAGGAATGCTTTAAAAGAGAGATTAAAGTTTGTTTCCAACCCCGTACTGGCAGACAACTCAAGAAAACAAGTAGTCTAGGTTAAAATGATTTATCACAGAAAAAAAAAAAAAATCCTAAACCAATTCTTCCAAAAATGTTTTTAAAGGTAAAAGCTGACTAAAAAGAACCACGTACGCAAGTGGGATTTAACACAGCAAACAAACATATAGAAGAAGGATTAGTTTTCATTATATTATTAAACAGCATAAACTAAATAAAAGTCTTTAAGATTTCACTGAAGCCAGTTTTACAATACACTAGGTACTCAAATTGGAGTAAACACTGATAAAATCTTGACAAATATTCCAGAAATGCACTCCAGCTATTCCAGACAAAAGCAGCAAGTATTCATCAAAGTGCAAGTTTCCAACTAAGCCCTGAAGCCTTTGAGATAAAAAAAGGATTTAAGTCTTGTGACTTGTGACAAGATATCTGGCTGACAGACTGTCACGACACAAAATGCTTCATCAACATTACATAGATAAACTAAAAAACAGCGCTACACACCTGCTCTTTTCAATTAGGGTGACATACCCAAATGATCTGCTAATGATATAGCTAAACAATCTCCCCCAAATCTGACAGGTTTTGCACTTTCAGTGATTCTGGTATTACCGACAAAGTCACAGCACTTAGAGCTCCTAGTTTGCCTACAAAGTGTTTCACCTTAGTAGATTGCTCAAAAAGGATTAGAGACCCCACAGGGATTAACAAGAGCCAAAAAAAGAAACCCCAAAGCCGTGGAGTCGGAGAAAAACTACGGCACCAAGAGCATTTAAATACTTGCTGTTTAAAGAGGTGATTTCGACCGGTCAGAATCAAACACAAGAACCATATAGAAATTGCCGTTCTTGGTTACAGCAGAAAGATCACCAATCTGATAAAATCATTAAAGCTGTTGGAATATAATTCCAATCCTATCAAGGCCCTGTTTTCTAATTTCTAATAACACGAATGGCCATGTTTGTCATTACATGTGACCCCTCTGAACACATCACTGTTCTCCAAATATTCAGTATTCATTTTAGATCCAGCTTTAAATTCTCCTCCTGATCTCTGAAACCGTCCATCTGTCCCAGCCCTAAGAAAACAGCTTTTCTCTTCCTTCCTCTCGGCTCTTCTGCTCCCTCGCTCCACGCCACCAACACAAGCTATTTGTGGCTTGCTCTCCAGTTTCACGCTCCTCGCAGAAGAGCGTTTGCCCCTGAAACCACGGCTTTCTGGAAGGGACTTTACAAATCTCCCTCCATGAACTGACACCTTTAAGCTGCATTTACAGGACAGGCTCAGGCTGCCTGTGCCTCTTCAATCTCTTCCCTCCTCCACTTCAACTGATTTCACAGCCAAACACTTTAATGCGTTCACTCACATCCACCACGTACCCTCTCTTATCTTATTTGGTAGAGCATTTTTAGAGGGCATTTCTATGAGATGATAGAGGAAAATAGAATTGTATCTTGCCGTACTGCGTAACAGAAATGTTTCTGTTTCTACATCCATTTTCAGTATGCGTCCTTAGCACTATGTTGGTTTAAAAACACATACAACAGCCTTGGCATATGACAACACAAGCCAAGAAACTGGGAAACAATCGTGACAGGATGTTTTTTCTCAATGTAAACATTACACAGAAAAAAGTATTCCTGATCTTCAGGAAGAAAGTTTGGAACAACGTAATCTAAAATGTTCTCTTTAAAATAACGATCACACAGACTCTCTGCAGAAAGAGTGGGTATCATGGTCATGGCTACTTAAAATATGGTTGAAACCACAGAGGCAAAGAACAAACAGGTTTTTAAGACTCAGTAATAACAAGGGGAAAAAAAGTGTTGGCAGGTGAGTGTGAAATGAATTAAGATTTACAGGAATACAGCTATGAAAGCCTACTCAGCAGCGACAAAAAGTATTTTGGAAGCTACCGTTACACGTGCAGTAATTCTACCCATCTCCTACCAGTCTCAAAACTGGCTTGACTGGTCTTTCACAGATAAACGATGAGTAGCAGTACAACAGACAGCTCAAGGAGTTAATTCAGAGAATAAGTCCAATTTCATACAAGGCCATGAATTAAATACGTTCATATCAAAACAGCACAAATCCATCTGTGCAATGCAAAGGAGTCCGTAACTTTCCAGTAGACCTGGAAGAAAGCAGTGGGCCAAGCTGAACGGAGAATGCTCATCACAGCAGTCTCAGAAATGACTTCCAAAAATCAGCTGAGTGTGTCCATGAGAAAAAAATATATAAATTATCACATCAGCCTTGCTGTTATTCACCACACTGTTACTGTACATTACACAGAGTTCTTGACTGCTTATAGTATAAACAAACTGCACAGTGGCCCATTAGTGGTTTTCAAGTTTATGCTAAGCGTTGCAATTTATTGCTGTCCTTTAGGTTAATGTACTATTATTTCATGTATTTATAATATATTTCTGGATTTGTTGTTAATTATGATGTAATGTTTAGATACCAAAGATCAATCAAGACCCCATCGTGTTTACAGATATATGTTAATAAAGTACAAAGTACACTAGATCTCTCACGATGCAAAGTTTATTCTATAGCTCAAGGTCAACATTAGATTTAATACTCATGTCTGTATTTCAAAATTTCATCTATCCTCTTCTGTCTGGGCCAGTAAAGAGAATTATTGACCTGAGATTTGGTTTAACTCGGGAACCCTTAAGGTATTCTAAATTGCAATACTAAATATTTTTGTGGGAACGTCAGTGCATTCTCCTAGCTTTACTACCATTCCTCCCTAGTTTGTGAGTAGTTTGGTTACTTAAGCTTCAATCTACATTTCTCGCATATCCAAAAGTGTCGGTGAAATCACTGGATGCTTCAAGGCCCTCCTTAGAAACACCAAAGCAATGCACTTAAGACAACCACAGAATGTTATAAGGAAAAGAGCGTGCATCCTCCAATTCACTCGTGTCTAAACCAGGTATTCTGTGACTCCTGTTGTACAGGAGGTCTACAGAAATTTTGTCTATATTTTATAGGCTATTCAGCTTGCTCCATGAATCCTGAGATTCCTGAGTCTGAGAAAGGTTTTCTTAACAGGTGCTAGGAAAGAAATCTTTCCATAAGCATGTATTATACAATGAAGCCTCCATCATACAGCTTGCTTTAGCTCTGTCATTTCTCTCACCTTCACCATTTGTTTCTCGCAACCCTTTCCATCAAAGCATTCCCTTCTAACCTCCATAACTTCTTTTCACTCCATACTGTCTTCTCCTGTTTTCCTTCAGTTACTCTTCTCCTATGCTTCTTTTGAACTTCCACGATCCTATTTCCCTCTGTTTCGAACACTGTGAAGTAAAATCCTCCAGAAAACTGAGTGAGAATTGAGCTGCCATGTTCAGAGTCTGACCTGAGAGAGACAGTAGGGTAATTTAATATATGGAGTCCTCCCAGGACACGTCATGTGTCAACAGCTCCACTGAAGATCAGCTTTCAAGACTGTACAAATCAAAAAAATATTTCTGATATTCTGAAAATCTGGAGGAAGTCATCTGAACCGAAGGCTTCAAAGCTGACATACATTCACTTACTCTGTATGGTGGAAATCTATATGAGGTTTTGCTATCATTCTTTCCTTATTCCCACAGCTTCTCCAAATTTAAACACTGCGTTAATTAGAACATATTCACAAAAAGAATAAAATTTAAAAGCTCAAGCCATAACTGAAAGAAAACAAAACAGAAGTAAGGGCAGCACATAGAAAACTTATTTTAAAAGGAGTTGCTTCAAATGGGATAGTCGGAGGAATGGCTGATTACACAAGCAATCCCATGGGACAGGCAGTGACCTTGTTTACCACTGCTCTTGGGAATGACTGACAGCCCACACCCAGCCTCTACATTTCAGGGCTTCTAAAAGTTAATATTGTACTAACT